TCATCATGGGATTGGCTTGCTCAATACTTATTGTACAAGGGTATATCCTCAACTCAAGAAATACTGCCTCTGTCGTCAAAATGCCCAGGTGACTGCCCTTTGCCTTGTCCGTCTCAAGCAGTAAATGACTTTATTGATCTAGAACACAAAGATCTAGATACCTAGAAATTTTCCAGAAGTAAGTTAGAAAGATACAAGCTTTTCCAATCTTTAGTCCAAGCAGGAAATGAGAGCCTTGGAGCATTAACACTCAGCAGTAAGTCTGAGCAGATGAAAACAAAACCACTTTTCTATAAATGACTAGTTTCCATGTTTCAGTTCCCTTAAGCATTCAGCAAATACAGTACTAGCACAACATCTGATGAGAATGGTTGCTTACAGCTGGGAAGATGGCGCAGTAAGAAAGAGTACTTTGCGTGAAATTATGAGGATTTGAGTTCAGATCCCCCACCACCCACATCAAAACAAACAAACAAACAAAACCTAAAAGGACTATCACTAGGACTTGCTGGCTACCAGGCAGGCTATAGGCTCAGTGAGAGACCTTGTCTCTAAGGAACAGAACGGAGAATGACAGCTAAGAATATCTAATGTGCTCTCTAACACACACACACACAAACACTCATTCACTAATGTGTTTTTAGTTAATTAATTTATTTATACATTCTGTTCACAGCCCCTGTGATCACCCTCCCTACTTCCCTCCCTCTTGCCCCACCCTCACTCCCTCTTTCCCATCTCCCTTCCCCTATTTCCCAACCCACTCTGGCTCATCAAGTCACATCAGGATTGAGCATGTCCTCTTCCCCTGTGGCTGGCAATGCAGCCCCACCAGGATTAAGCAATAATAAAGCAGGCAACAGAGGGTGGAGATCAGACCTGGGGAGGTGGGGTGAGGGAGGACAGAGAGCCTACAGAAAGAAGAGAAACCAAGGGAGGGAGCATTTCTGTGACAAGCTGGACACCTAAGACAGGATAGGCTTCTAGGAGGATAGAGTGGTGACTCTAGCTGAGACTCCTAGTAGCAGGGGTCATGGAGACTGAAGAGGCCACCCTCTAACTAGACAGGACTCCTAGTAGAGGAAGGGAAACACCAACCTACCCACAAAAACTTCTGAAATTTACTCTGCCTACAAGATGTGCAGGAATAAAAATAGAGCAGAGATTGAGGGAATGTCCAATCAATGCCTGGCCGAAGCTGAGACCCACCCAATGGGAGACAGCCAACCCCCGACACTATTAACGATGCTCTGCTGTAATCACAGATGAGGAGCCTAGCACTAAATGTATTTTAAGTGGAAAATTGCAAGCATACTCTCCAAAAGTCTGCTGCTTTGGATGGAGTGAAAAGGGCAGACAAGCAGCTAAGACAGAAAACTAAGGAATGTGAGCATCTCCCCCATTAGATCCATAAAGATTGTTCTCTCACAAAACCATGCAACAGCTGAGCTTTAAGCACCTTCCTCTGCAAAACTACACAGGGCAGAGGAGTTGGTACAGCAGGCAGCAAGCAGCAGAGCTTACAGGAGGACATGGACACAGCAGGCAACCTGGCTCAGCCCTGTGTCCACACAGAACTTCTGACACCTAAGTGAAGCTATTCAAGCACACCACTTTTCCGTAAACTAGCATTTCCCATATTTGTTTACATCACCCCAATCAATAAATAACATTTTAGTGTATCTTGTAGTTACTTGTAAAGAATAAGGTTATAGGGTATTACTTTCAATGTGTTAAAAGCTAATTTCATAAAACATAATACTAAGTTTCCATATTCCTTCTTTGAGATTCATTTTCTCTGGCATATGGGGTCCCCTCACCCCAAAGTGTTTCTCTCAAGATTCTCTCAGCTTCTGTGCTGTCCCAGGTGCCTAGATGAACGGTAACAAGAGTCTAAGGGGAAGTGTGGTCAGAACAGAGGAGAACGGTATTAACAAGGGATAGTATGGCCTGGAGACTGGGAATCAAAAAAAATTCTGTGAGGATTGTGGGTGTAGCTTGGCAGCAGTGCTTGCCAAGCATGCAGTAGGAGCCAGGTTCAATCCCCAGCAATGCCAAACAAAAGGAAAATGACTTAGCAATTTCCAGGCTAGGTCACTGTAAGGGTGATGTGCTATTTATAGGAAGTCAAAAGGGAAGTGATATTCACAAGATTGTTGCCATTTTGGGGACTGTGTATTCTCTTTGGCTTTTCTTTCTTTCTTTCTTTCTTTCTTTCTTTCTTTCTTTCTTTCTTTCTGAAAGGCAGATTAACAGCACTAAGCACACTGTCCTGCATAGCCACAATAAAGAGCTCCTGTCCAGAACTTGGGGTTAGGCCAAAGACAGCAAACCACAGGTAAAGTGTCTATGCAGTCTTAGAAAAATTACACTCCTTTATAGAGCTGAGTCACAGAATTCTTCAAATGTTCCCTCTGAGGCTGGCTTGTAAACACACACACCATCAGCCTCTCCAGGGCTGGGTGGGAGCTCCTCAGAATTGTGAAGAAAGATGGAGACTGAAAAACTAAAGACAGATTTGACTCAGAACACTGGCAATCTGTGTCCTGCACTCTGAAGAGGAGACTTCCCCAGCCGGCAAGGGGACTGTCTATTGTCTCTAAGTATTGCTGTCTGTTTGAGGGGGTACCTCCCTTCCCAGGAATACCTCCACCTGCCACAATGTGATGTGTGTGGAGCCCTGACGGCTTTCATTGCAGTGTGGAGACAGAAGCCTGGGGTGGGATGTAGAAACGGAGGTGGTACATCTCTCAGCATGGTTTTTCCTGGAACCTTTGAATGATGGCTCATATTAGTGATTACTGCTTAGCTCAGAACTGTATAGAAAATAATATTCACACTTAATTCTCTTTAGATACAGACTAATAACCTGATTTTGTTTTGTTCTGCTTTGGAAAAAAAGAAAGAAAGTGTAAGGAAACTGAGATCATATGCCCGCTCTTGCATAAAATATATACTTTATGTTTGAGAACAGGGAAAACAGATCAATGCATGGTTCATCTTGTAAGCTTCACAAAGGAAAATGATAGCAAAGAGTTATAAACACTAAAACAAAATCTCAAATGAATTTTGAAAAGAGCGCTGCCATAGCCACGTAAGCATTATTTAGGGCCTTGTGATGGGGAGAGAGAAAATAGGAATTTCACATGACATAAAGAGAAACACAGGCAGAGGTGTGACGCTCATATTCACACCAGATCTGTAGTTCACTCCGAATAATCACTGGAGACGCGTGTGAGGTAAAGAACACTCATCTGCATGGTGAAAACCCCAACGGAAGACAGAGCTAGACAGTTCAACCCAGACCTTGGTTCTCAGAAGAGCAATAGGCATCTTGAGCGATGACTAAAGACAGATCCACTATCCTGATACCTGCTAGGACTTCCAGCCAGTTTCTCGAGAAACTGTATCACCCTCATCAGGACCACAGTTCTGCTTGAATTATAAAGTTCTCAAAAAAGAATATAAATATATGCCCAGGTACATATTTTATGGCAAATCTATAAGAACTTATATATATTCTGTAATGAAAGTTTTGGGTTCCTAGTAAACTCAGTTATGTTATGTAAATATGTTTTTGCTTTAATCCCAAGTGTGGGATTTTAGTTTGGGCTTTAGTTTGTCCACAGCTAATGACTGGCTCGTGTGGGGAATGGTCTTTGCCAGCTGGTAATGGCCTGCCTCGTGGGGCATAGAGGAGCATGGTCTAGGGCTCTGAGGACTATAAATATGAGTGCCCAGAGAAAGAGAGGTGTGGTGAGCGGTGTTGGCATATGGCCTGTAGCGGTTTGGAGTGACAAGAGATGGACAGTGTGGCTGATGGAGAGAAACTGTTCAACACAATGACTCAGAGGAGACTGCCTGCTTGCAAGTTCGCTGTGGATGGAAATTGGTATAGCCCCAGGGGAACCTACTGACCCTAAACAGCTGGGAGAAGTAAAGGGGTCTGTGCCCCTTCTTCCCACTAACCTTCTCTCTCCTGCCTAGGGTTGGGGTGTTGGAAGGGAGAGGCTTTAAGAAACGCAAATTTTAACAAAGTTTAAAAACAAGTGCTACATATTCTTAGTGAAAGTCACTATCAACACACGTATCAGCAGAGGGCAATTTTCTAAAAGTCTGTCAGAAACACAATTCATACACCTTCTGCCCTTAAAATCCTTTGGGGGAAAATTTATCTTATAAATAAACTTGCATAACATATGGGTGTATTTTTGCTGTTGTTGCTTTGTTTCATTTGAGCAGCAATATTTGTTAGCTGAAAATGCAAATTAGCACAAATGTTCATTAACAGACACTTGTTAAACAAATCATGATACTACTGTGCAATGAAATATTATGTATCTTCAGAAAATCACTCTAGGAATTATGGGGAAGATCTCTGTAATAGTAAATAAATCCACTTTTTGTGAGCTTGCTGATAGCGAATAAATAATTCAAAGAATAAAAGGCTATGTCTTTTATGGTACATTTTGAATTTAAAAGGTGGCAACAGAAAAATAATCCATATTTGTTTCTAATGAGCATTTGGAAGGTACAAAGGTTTAAACGAAGGTACTATACAACAAGAATACCTTTTAAAAAGCTAGAAAGTAAGACAGAAAAAAAAGTATTTACTGCCTATCTTTCTAGTCTCTTGGGTTTTGTTTTTATTGTTTGTTTGTTTTGAAATATTTGAATATATTACCTCTTAACAAATTGAGTAATTTTTAAGTTAAAAAAGTCAACTGCTTAATGCTCACAATAGTCCAAAACATAAAATGTTTCCTTAAGAAACAAAGGAAGGAGGCATTTTTACACTCTAAATGGAATTTGACCTTAGATCCCAGTACAAATTAAACAAGCCAGCCATGCTTTAAAATGGCTATGGCAGCTTAGGTGGTACTTTGGCCTTCAGCCATCCTGTGGCAAAACTGTCAAGTGAAGTCTGAATTTGGTCAGCAACTTAGAGAAGGCAGAGACTTCTAAACACTATTACATCCTTCCACAGAAAACACCCATACCTTTGTCAAAAGGTTTCTTCCGCCCATGAGGGATTCGGTGAAGAGTAAGAATGTATCCATCTTCCGTCTGGACCGAGTGTTCCTCACAAGGGTATCCCCAATACAAGATCATTTCAGTCTAGGAAGAGAAAGGGCAATGACTGTTCCATGGTAGACTCTGGTTCTTCAATCTCCAAGTTATACGGAAAGGACGAAACAAATCCAAGGACTTCTTTTTGGCTTTTTAAAGGAAATCATTGCTACTGCAGTCTACTCGATCTAGTAACCAAGAGCCCATCTCAAGACCCAGTCTTTTTATACTCACTGGTTTAAATACATGAGTATTTTATACTCATCACCCGAGCATGCTTTACTCCAAAGTGTGTTAAATTGTTTCCATAATGCCTATCAGGCACAAATCAAGACTTAATTTCCAAATATGTCAGCTAACATTTTTCATGGTCTAAAGTTCCTAACCCAGGCAATAAGCCTAAAGAACTTCATCTGAAGAAAATGAAAATGGTTGAAGAAAAGCTGAAAAATAGGAAACTGCCATCAAATTCACTTCTCCACAAGGAAAGATCCATGGAGCAAGTGTTACTGCGAGCTCAGTAGGAAAGCATAAATCAGCTACTTGGAAGATTGAAGTGTTCATTATCCTCTCTGCCATAAACACTTGAAAGACTTTAATCTCATTATTTCCTTAGGAAGGAACTGTTAAAAGAGCAGGATGCCAGAAAGGAAACTTATCCTTGGCCTGTGTCATACCATACTATTCTGTCTCCTAGAAGTATTTCTGTCTCTGCGGGCACCCTTTTTTTCAGCTGGGTCAATCCATCTTCTGATTTAAGGATGCTGTTTCTTTAATGATCTATATTTTCTTGCTGTTGTATCCTTTTTTTCCAGATTTCAGTGTTTCCTTAAGATTACTAATTGTGAAATGCTTTAATTTAATTAAATATTTTTTTACTTATATTTTCTAACAACCCCTTCTAATATTTTCACAGCTGTGTTGGGTTATGTTTCCTGGGCACTTTCAATCACAGCTCAGGTTCAGCACTCACCAAAGGCATTCTTGTGAAGGCCTTACACAGTTTCGTCAGTTTGAAAGTATATTTAAAATAGCCAGGTACAGTGGTGCACGTTTTTAATCCAAGCACTCAGGGAAGCATAGGCAGTCAGGTCTCTGAGAGTTCAAGACCAGCCTGTTCTACAAAGCTAGTCCAGGACAACCAAAGCTACACAGAAAAAGCCCGTCTCAAAAAAAAAAAAAAAAAAGGTGTTTAAAATTATTTAAAAATAAAATTACTAAAACACATTATTTAGCATAAATTGGTGTATTTTGTTCATCAGGCTGATGAAGCTGGTTATCAATGGTAAGCAGCATGTAGTGGGAAAAGTTTAGGAAATGGCACACACAATTCAAAAAAAGTGAAACTCATAATGAGCCATAAAGAGATTGTAGTTATGACTCCATATAACTCTACTTAAGAAAACAGCTCTCGTCATCACTGCATTTCAAAAGCATGTGACTTTTAGAAACTCACCACATTCATGTTTGCTTCAGGGTCCACAGCTGATACAATCCCCGTGGGTCTCTCAGAGAGCAGGATCCCAAGGACAAAACATATCACCAGGGCCAGGAGCTGCATCTTCCTCTCGTTCAAAGTAGCCAGCTGAATTTTACCACACAAACACACCTCGGGAGATCAGGGCCCTCTTTGAGAGTCTTGAACCGAATTTAGGATAAATAAAACCCCACAGGGAAGACAGATATGAATGGAATGACTCCAGCCGTCTCTGGGAGGGGAAAAAACATCAATTTGTTTTCATTAAGAGGCCTACAGAATAGCCACCCCCAGTTAACACACATACCACCTCCTCACAAAAGTAAACCAGCTATTTGTAGAGAAGCAGCACACAGGGAACTCAGGATAAGAAAAAGGAAGAGCCACAGAATTTCCCACCATTTCCCCTCTGCGTGAGAGTTAAATACATTTTTAAGTTCGGGCAACATTAGCTATTGCCTGCCACTATATGTGAAGTTTGTTCTCTCCGGAAATTATATGTCAAGATTCAAAACTGTCACTCAAGTTAACAAAGATGAATGGAAAGAAAAAAGAAACTCTCTAACCATCAAAAAGATCACCCCAGTGAAGGCTCAAAATTGCTACAGTGTAGCAAAGTACTGGGGATGTTAAGAGAGAGGTGACACAGTCTGTAACAAGGTTCAGACTAAAGTTTGAAGAAATGTTGGGACTGCAATCGAGGACTTTAAAAATGCATATAATCATTTTAAAAGAGTAGACCACAATATTCCTAAAGACTTGTACATAAATTGCACATAATTGTAGCAGCTTTGTATATAAAGGCCAAAAGCTAGGGGTGGAAAAAAGCCAAACCAAATGAGTCAAGAGATTAACAAATTATAGGTTTACATAATTCAGCAATGAACACACAATACAGACAAATCTCAAAATAATTATGCCACATCAAAGAAGTCAGGGAAGGAAGGGTAAGAGGGGAGAGGGAAGGAATTATTCCAATGTTGTTAAAAACTTGGAGAATATGTAACCTAGGCTATACTAACAGAAAACAGATTAATGTCTGGGGAGAAGAAAGGGCAGGAGAGAAAATTCCCCGAAGACCATGCACAGGGACTCTTGGGGTGCTGTGTGTGCTCCTTCTACCAAACATAACTAATTTCATGGGCATTTGTTCATGTCAAAACTTAGAAATGTCTACAATACATCCTGCTAGTCAATGTTAATATCTCAATTCTGTAGTTTCAAAATAATAAATAGGGGGCTAGAGATGGCTCAGAGGTCAAGAGCACTGGCTGCTCTTTCAGAGGTCGTGAGTTCAATTCCACGCAACTACATGGTGGCTCATAACCATCTGTAATGAGATCTGGTGTCCTCTTCTGGTGTGCAGGGCACATGCAGACAGAACATTGTATAAATAAATAAATAAATAAATAAATAAATAAATAAATAAATAAATAAATAGAAAATAATAATAATAAATAAAGACTATAAAGACTCCTTTAAACCAAGTGTTCTCCACGCTTCTTAGGAAACTGGCTCTCTGGAGACTGCAGAAGAGAACTGACTCCCTTCGGTGGGTGTAAGTTCTCCTGTATACTGAATCACAGCACTCTGGACAGGACGAGATATTATCTTGAATTTGTGCTGGCCAAGCAAGCCTATTGCTGCTATAAGTTACCAGCATGACTTTATGTAGTACAGCCTAAGGCTGTACTTTTATCTCAAGGTCACTGCCCCAAAGGTCCTTCAGCACTAAAGAACAAAAATGCACACTGAAAAGCGGGAGAGTGTAAAAAAAAATAATAATAATAATAATAATAATAATAATAATAATAATAAAGGTTCTCAGCACAATGTAAAATAAGCAAGAGGTGGAAGCCAGTTTTAAAGAACCCCATACAATCTCCAAAATGGCACCCACTCCAGGAGGGTGACAGGGGAAGCTACTCAGGCAAGAAGGTCAGCCTTTAGACTTTCCTTCCAGCACTGCACCATAACCCTGACAAGTAATTCTCCCCCCCAAAAAATGACTGTGTGATAAGGCTCTGAGGTCATTGTATTATTCTGGGCTCTTAGAACACCTTTGTCACAGAACTTCTGGCTTTGTAACAACCCAATTCATTATCTCTCTGCTTTCATTTCACCCCACAACGAGGCGAGGGGGCCCAGAGCTTAAGTCTGATTCAACTTTGAACCCCCAGGACTCTGCCAAGTTCTGCACAAACTAAATGACAAATACTGCTGTTGAAAAACAATGGGCTGGGCCAGCTCCCCGCAGCTCAGTGACAGATGAAAATAAGAGCCCTGTGTCGTTTTTCAGTAACTGCTGCACGCCTGGCAGTGCCTCCAACAGTCTGCCGCTTCTCTACCAACAGTCCTACTAAGCTCATTTTCAACCTAACATGGTCACACCAGTCAAACACTGGAAGCAAAGGGCTAGGTGATTACACAGCAGTATCACTGGGGTTTTTAACCAGGACCCACGCACAAGTTTGCCGTTGACCACGCACCTGAAAGACCTAACGGGACGAGTGAACAAAGAGGACTGAGAATCACGCATTCTGCCTGTCCCCAAGTTCGGAAACTTTGGCCAGGGTCCCTGATCGCCGATCGCTCCTGTCCAGGATGCGGGACCGCACCCTGGGAAGGACAGGCCACTTCTTGGAGAGACCCAGGGCGTCGCCGCCCCCAAAGAACTTGCACGTACCCGATGCAGAACATGCCCCGGAGCAGAGGAACAGACCAGAGACCATGGCGGGGTCTCTCCTCCCAGCTTTGGGGACCCGCAAGGCACCAGCTACCTAGCCCGCTGCATGGGGCCAGGCCAGAGGCCGTCACTCACCCGGAATGGTCCTCCAAACTGTCTCCGGGAGTGTTGCCCACTGTAGCCAGGCGAGCGCGGATAAACCAGAACTTACACCAACCTGATGGGCGGGTGGAGCTGCCACCCTCTCCAGGCCTTTTGTACAGCCAATCAGAGCAGTCCGTCACCGGGAAGTGCCCCGGTGACTCCACCCCTTCTGGCCATCTGCTTAGCCCTGGGACGCGGACTCAAAGGAGCATGCGCCTTCTGTCTGCCCAAGAGACCCAGCCCAGCCTAGCCCTGCTCTAAACTGAACCAGTCAGAGCTGCCTCCTGTTTCAAAGCTGGCAGGTACCCTGCACACCTAGCAATTAGCAGGGAATCCTAACCTTTTCCCTCTCATGACTTCAGAAATTGTCTTCAACCTCCCCTAGATGGGTATACAAAACAAGCATTTTTGATAATAAATTATAAAGAAATTTCTTTTTAAGCAGTTCTTTGGTTAATATATACATATTATACACACACACATATGTGTGTAATTTTATGATTTTTCTGAAAACAAAAGCAAAAACAAATTCGTGCGCTAATGAGACAGATGCGCTTATTTTCACATAAAGAAATCTTGACTGACTACTGGATGCCGCAGCACCGATTCAGCAGCCTCCACAGTTTTCAGAATTGGTTGATGTTTTTCATGCTAGAACTGTCGATGGTCAAACCACTGCAGCACACAGATGCGTAGCACAGAGTGGCAAAAGTATGCTTAGAGCCATTTCAAAAATCGCTGACCTTCTCTCCTACCTCAAGCCAAACCTCAGCTTATGACTTTTTATGAAACTCAGTCAGGAACCCAAACAATAACTTTTAAAAATCAAACGCTGTGACACAACAGGATCCAAAGGCATGCCGATTCTGCACTTACATCTGAGGAATAATGGCGGGAAATATTAAAGGCCTTGGCTTTCTGTAATTTAGCTGTTAACTTTCTGTAAGGGCAGAAAACTTCGCATGTGCGGTACGAACACGACAACTCCTAAGTGCTGGTTCGAACAAGGGTATTCCAGGCAGCCTGTCTGTGCAGCGCGCTAGCACACACAGACCAAAGCGCACGTGTTGCAGATGCAGAGCCAAGAAAGCAGTGATGTGCAAAAATAACAGAGGCAAGTCCTTCCAGAAACACAGCACATTCTTACACGTTTGATTGTGAATCCTCTTTTGGTCATTTACTGCTACCAGTGTGTGTGTGTGTGTGTGTGTGTGTGTGTGTGTGTGTGTGTGTGTG